GATTGGGAGAGTAAGGAAGACTTCACTGAGGCTGCCTTCAAGGTCCAGTAACTCCACTTTGAGTCCTTTACTGAAAGTGATCTGAATCCTAGCACAGGGCTGCCATTTGCACAGCTCCAGGGAGCTTCACTCACAGTGTGGCCCGTGGACTATGTGGATGCCAAGATTTCATTCTTCTCTTTTTCCGTTTTGTTGTTGTTGTTGTTGTTGTTGTTTGAGAGAGGGTCTCCCTGTATCCCAGCTGAACTGGAACCTGCTATGTAGACCAGGATGGCCTCGATCTCACAGAGATCCTCCTGCCTCTGTCTCCCAAGTGCTAAGATTAAAGGTATGTGCCATCATGCCTAGCCTCAATGGTTCATTCCTGAAGAGCTCAATAAAGGAAGGACAGGAAGCAAAGATGGAAAAAAAGAAGGGAGGGAGGGAAAGAGTTTCTTCATTTTCAGGGTTTTTAAAAAAAGATGAATTTTATTTATGTTTATATGTATGTGGGCTGTGTGTGTGTGTGTCTGTGTGTCTGTATGCCATGTGTGTACTACTCTCTGAGGTCAGAGGAGGGTGTGGAATCCCCTGGAGCTGGAGTTACAGGAGGTTGTGAAGTCACCTGATGTGGATGGTGGGAACCAAACTGGCCCTCTGGAAGAGCAACAAGTGCTCTTAACTGCTAAGCTGTCTCTCCAGCTGGAAAGAGTTTCTTTGGATTATCACAAATTCATTTGGAATTTCTACCCCAAAGTAGAAATAATTCATTTAAGTTCAATTAATGTTAGCATTATACTTTAAAAAGCTGCATTTTAAATTTCTGACAGGCATTTTTTTTGTCTTTCAAAGTTAAATTGTTAAATCCATCATCCTCACTTTTAAGTTCCTCTCATAAAAAGGCAGTGTTTCTTCCTGTCTGTTTAAATCATATTCCACACTGAAAATGGTTATGTAACTTAGGAATGAAAACAATGTTATACCTTCCTTTTAGCCTGTCCCCTGGGAGGCTGAGGCCTAGGGAAGAGTACACAGGAAACTCATTGAGGTAGAGGTGAAGAATCAATAGTCACAACCATAAAGCACTTTAATTAACATTTTCTTAATTAACTGGGAACTAGAAAATTCTTTGCACTAAATGTATGAAGTATCAAGCATGTTCCAGTTCTAGCCAGTTGCTAGGGACAGTAAGCAAAGGCAAAATGTCAGAGCTAGAAGAAAATTTAAAGATCCACTAGTTAAGATTCTTTCTGCAGCTCTCTGCTAAGAAAACAGACCAAGGAGAGGGGGAGAGAATGTCTGACTGGAGCCTACTGCTTTTCCCAGCAGCCAGTGACTTCCTCTGAGAGCAGATGTGAAAAACAAAATTATTGGCTTTCCAAACCAATAGAGCAACTTACTGCAACTTAGAAACCAGTGGTTGTAAACAGGGCATAGGGCTCGGGGTGTATCTCAGTGGTAGGGCAAATGCTTGGCATGCCCTGGGTTCAGTCTTCAGCATAAAAAAATAGAATGTGATCTTGTTCCATTGAGCAACGTCTTGTGTTTTATTTTTTTGTCTGTTGCAGAGCCGAAGACTAGTGCCACCCACTGAGCAGAGGCCAGGATGCTGCTAGGCATTCTAACTATGCACAGGACAGCAGTCCTCCTTGCTCCCAACAAAGGGTTATTGAGCTTAAAATGTCAACAGTGCCAGGACTGAGAAGTCCCGATCTAACCAGGCTTTTCCACACTAGCTGCATGGTTGGTCCAACTGGGTCGCCTTGTACTAACTGAATCAGAATCTCTAGGAATGGCCACGGAGGGAACAGTGGTTTGAAAAGTTCTCCTCTGCTCATATGCGCTCTGTATTTGAGTCACTCAACAACCCCCTGCCAAATTGTAAAGAAGCCAGCAACCAACCAGAGACCAAGTTTAGTTTCTACCACATATCTGCGAGAAACTGAATAAAAACACAAAAGAGGTGCAGTCTGTACCTCATCATCCCCTTTCCCACCCTGTGTTTATTGTAAGCTGGGCAATATGAGAAGAGCCAGGTATGGGTGTGACAGCAAAGAGGGGCCAAGGGAAGACTGCAGCGAGGTGCCAGGACTCCTCTGGCTGCGAAAGCTAAGCTTGTTGGTGACATTGCTGCATCTTGCATTTTGTGTGTACATCTGTGTGCCTATGTGGATGTGTGCTTACCTGTGTGTGCCCATGTGGAGGTTAAAGGTCAATGTCCAGGTCAATGTCCAATCATTCTTTACCTTATTTTTTGAGACGGGATTTTTGAACATAGAGCTTGCTGTTTCGACTAGCCTGTCTAGCCAGCGAGTCCCCAGGATCCACCCGTCTTCCTCCCAGGGCTGGGGTTATAGCCGTCACTCCCATCTTTTACATGGGTGCTGGAGATCTGAACTCAGATCTTTATGCTTCACAGCAAGTACTTTACCCACTGAGTATCTCCCCAACCTCCATTTTGCATTTCTAAAATAGTTACTTTTTGTTTTTCTTATAAAAAGAGTTTTCCTATGTAGCCCTGGTTAGCTTGGGTCTTGTTACATGCCAAAACTCAATCCTCCTGTAACCATCCTGGTAGGAATGAGGATATTCTAGAGAGACACTTGTGCCCCTTCATTTGGCTTTGACTACTGAGGTAATAGACCCCAAGTAACTGGAATTCCCCCAGGAATCTCATGGTGGAAGGAAGAAGAGGATGAAGCTCATGCCAGCCTGTGGGGAATCACGGCCGTCCAGGCCCATCTATATTTAGATAACATGGTGCTGATATGGGTATGATCCAAGATAGCTAACGCTAGATATCTGGAGGGTGATGAGCAGCATAAAATGGCCCATACCAGATGTCCAGGGACCCAAAAGTAAAGTCATGCAGTGTTATACAACCAGTTTGGCAAAAAGCCACATTTGTATGATTTCCTATCAAAAGGCCTTGGGACCAAGGGCACATGGGCTCTGTTCAGTGTGTGTGTGTGCCCTCACTCAGAGAAAATAGGTATGTCTTATTTCCCAGTGGCTCTGCAAATCTTACTTATCTCCAGGCTCTTATTGACCCTCCATTCCTGACTTCTGAACTTGGCCTCCACATAGCCAGAGGAGGAACTTGTCTCCTGGAAAGAAATTTCACACACTTCTGACTTGTCTGAGTACCATAAAGAAGAGCCCAGAGTAGAGACATGGGTCACTGATCCCCATCTTGACCAGGGCTGCTTAGTTATATCTCCTGCCTTCTGATTAAACCTAAACATCATGCCAAGATCCTGAAGGACCTGGGGGTCACTGGGCCTCTTTGTTCCTCTTCCCAGTGTCCTTAGCTGCCATGTGGGTGCTGGGAATCGAACCTGAGTCCTCTGCAAGAGCAGTCAGTGCTCTTAACCACTGAGCCATCTCTCCAGTCCCAGGAGCCACATTGTTAAGGAAACTGACTCTACCTAGAAGCCATCAACTGTCAATGGCCTCTCGGGGGTGGGTTCTTGAACCCCTCCCCCCTCATGATGGAAGGTTGACTGGCTTGATCTTGTGCAGGTCTTGTGCAGGCAACCGCAGCTGCTGAGTTCATGAGTACAGCAGTCCTATCATGTCCAGAAGGCATGTCCCCTCCATCTGATTCTTACAGGCTTTTTGCCTGTCTTCTGTAATGGTCCTTGAACCTTGGTAGGTGGGTCGGGGGGTGTGAGAGATGTTCCATTTGTGGCTGAGCACTTCACAGACAGTTATTCTCTCCACTTGACCAGTTATGAGTTTCTGAGTTAACCATTATTCCACTGTACAAAGAAACTTACGAGGTCTGAGAGCTGTACAAATCTGGATATAGAGACAGGAATTTAGAAGGCAGTTTGATACTATGTCCATTAAGCAAAAGAATAGTAGTAGGCTCACTTTTAGGGCCTGTGAGCTCCCTAACCATGGGTTCTTGGCCAGATTTACAGTACTAGGTATGTTTCCTCCTGTGGAGTGGTTCTTAAATTCAATCAGTAATCAGTTGGCTATCCCCATAACACTTACATCACTACTGTACCTATGGGCATAGCTTGTATGCAGGTCATTAATGAAGTTTAGAGCTCACAAGTAGGTAAGACTGTTGATGACTGTTTTCTGTCAGCAGCCTACATAGTGCCATCTGGTACTATGAAAGCTAGTCAGCAAGGAGGAAGCTTCCTTGTCAATACCATGATTTCTTCATGACCTGTACCAGTGTGTGTGGTGTCTTCAGCAACTGGTTCTTATCATCAGATTCTGGTGGGCAACTGTGCTGGATTGCTTTAGTTGTCAACTTGACACCTGTGTAGAGGGAACCTCAGTTGAGGACTTTCCTTCATTGGATTGACCTGTGGCCATGCCTGTGAGGTATTTTCTTGATTGTTGGTGATGTGGAAGGGTCCAGTCCACTGTGGGTGGTGCCACCCCTGGGCAGATGGTCCTGTGTTGTATAAGAAAGCAGGCTGAGTACAAGTTAGAAGAGCAAGTCAGTAAGCAGTGTAGCTCCATGGTCTGTCTCAAGATCCCACCCTGAGCTCCTCCCTGGCTTCTCTCCTTGATGAACTGTAAGCTGAAGGCAAAATAAACCCTTTCCTCCCCAAGTTGGTTTTGGTCCATGTTTTCACCACAGCAATGGAAAGCTAATTAGAAGAGTAACCAAGAGCAGCGGCAATAGCCGGTACTGGTCTCTTTGGACCCTCTGACCAACAACTTGAGGGAAGGTATCCCACATCGGAACTGAGTTTTTATTTGGCAACATATGGCATCCAGGATGAGCATTATCCCCTGTATAAGGTAACTGTGATTAAAGTCATATATGTGCATATCTTATAAAATAGTAGGTTCCCTCTCCCAATCCCTCCTCTACCTTACTCTCCCAGCTCTCCCCACTTAAACCTTCCTCCCCATTATGGTCCTTTCCCTTCATATCACTTGTGTTTGACTCTCTCCCCTCTCTTAAGATCTTTCTTCCCAGTGGGTGTAGGCAACACATGCTTTAATCCCAGTACTAGGGAAGCAGAGGCAAGTGGTTCTCTTCTCCTCCCAAACATATGGAATGCTTCACGAATTTGAATGTCATCCCTGCACGGGAGCCAGGCTAATATCCTCTGTGTTGTTCCAATTTAAGTATACGTTCTGCCCAAGTTTACTTCTATGATAAAAAAAATAATTATTTTTTTCTGTTTGCTAGAACTGGATTCACCTCTTAAAATGCATCCCCCTTCTTCTAAAACTATAATGATATAACTTAATAGTGAACATAATGTGTATGTATTACCAAGCCCAGAGGCACTGCATTCTTGTTATAACATTATACAAACATTGTGTAACTGAGACATTTAGGAAATAATCACTGACCCCCTGCAGTGATTGAGTTTCTTAATATGCCTATCGTTTATAAAAGTATTATTTAAAATTATTACATTTATTCTTTATGTGTGTGGGTGCACAAGTAACATAGTGTATTAGTCAGGGTTCTCCAAAGAAACAGAACCGGTAGAATGAATATACATATATGGATAGAGATTTATCAGCTTAGCTCACAGGATAGAGTCCAAGTAGTCCAACAATGGCTGCACCACACTGGAGAGGCTGAGAATCCGCAGTCACTCAGTCCACAAGGCTGGATGTCTCAGTAGTCCCGATCTGGCGCTGAAGGTCTGACAAATTCCAAAAGATCAGCTAGTCTTCAATCTACAGCAGCAAGATGAACTCACCAGCGAGAGAGAAGGCAAGCAGCAAGAAGCCAGGCATTCTCCTCTGCCATGGCCTTTTATACCGGCTGCCATCAGAAGGTAACACCCACCTTTAGGGTGCGTCTTCCAGCTTTAGATGATCCAATCAAGAAGATCTCTTTCATTTCAGTTAATCCCAGATCCAATCAAGTTGACACCTAGGATTAGCCATCACACATAGTTTGCATACAGAGGTGAGGAGGCAACTTTTTAGAGTTGGTTCCCACCTTCTACCTTGTGGGTCCCAGGGATTGAACTCAGGTCATTAGGTTTGGCACCTTTACCTACTGAGCCATTTCACTAACTCCATAAAATTACTTTTGAGACAGTGTCTTGCTGCTATGTAGCCCAGGCTTATTTTGAACTTGAGGCAGTCCACCTGCTTCAGTTTCCAAAGCGCTGGGATTACACACACATGTAACCACACCTGGCTGCCTGTCATTTTTTGATGTGTCTACAACTACCTTACTTCATCGTTTAGGACATGGTATTTAAAATCCAGCCTTTTTCATTTTTAACTAGACTCTAAGACCTTTTCTGTCTCTGGGCAGCAATTTTCAACCCTAAACCGACCCAGTGATTCTGTTAGGATCATTATGTTGTAACATCTGCTTTAGTACTGTGGAATTAAATTCATAGGTAGTACAACTTATCTACATTTAAATTTTTAAAAATATTTTATTTTATGTGTATGAGTATATTGCCTGCATATATGTAAGTGCACTTGTACCATGCAATGCCCAGGGAGGTCAGAAGAGGGTATTGGATTCCCCTGGAACTGGAATTATGGATGGTTGTTAGCCACCATGTGGGTATTGGGAATTGAACTTGGGTCCTCTGCAAGAGCAGCCAGTGCTCTTAACTACTGAGCTATCTCTCCAGCCTCTACATATAGTTCTAAAAGATGAATATGCACTTATCTCCTGTCCCTGCTGCACTTCCATCCTGGGGCCTGCTCTGAGCTCAGAGGCTTCTTTCTGTAAGTGGTTCTCATCTTCCCATTGTGCTAGGCCAGTGTACTGGGAAGAAATGCAGAGCAGGAGGAAAGAGATGAAGGCACTGATTGCTTGCTCTGCTGAGACAGAATTGGCCTGTCTCTACGGTAATGGCTCACCTGGGGTGGGTTGGATTTCATTATCATATGTAAGTCAAGGGGCAGGAAGACCCTTCTGCTGTTGCTTGTCCAAGGAAGTATCACCACCCCTCCTGGGTCCTTTAAATCTGCCCTGCCTCTTCAAACAGTGAAGCACTTGTGAGCAGTGGGGCTGGGCAGGGGTGGGTGATGGTGGGGGTGGTATTGATGCACATTGCTCATAAAGGGAAGCAAAGGATGTGTCATAGGAGGAATACTCTTTCAACATGACTTGTGTCTGATTGTGTCACAGACAGCAGTACTGCCATCTGTGACCTGGTTTTCTGAATGATGAATAATGGAAAAGTTCTGAATAAAACATCACTTCCCTTTGATTTACAAAGCAGTTGAATTTCTGAAAATGTGGTATACATCAAAGCTGTATAAACATAATTCATTTAAAGTAGAATTTGATTCTAGCTTCAAATGATCATAAGCAGGTCTTCCACCTGCATGAATGTCCACTGGGACACCACGCAGGACAAACAGCAATTACTTCTTGTGCAAGGCTGTCCATAGGGTGCAGCTTGACTAGGACTCTCACCCTACTCTTCAAATGTTGGTATATGCAGAGAGTTGGGCATGTCATAACAGTCTCATTTTATTTCACTGGTTCCAAAAGAAAATCAGGTACTGGTTAGCCAAGCCGCTTCATACTCCCAATCCTAGTCCTTGGCAAATACCAATCTACTTTGTTTCTATACATTTCATATAAATGGGATATACTATATATAGTCATTGGTGACCCAATGGCCAGAGACCACAAGGCAAGAATAGATGAAGATATTTTAAAAATGTGTAGTGAATGTGATAAATTGATACATGTCAATTCTCTCTCACTTTGTAACATTTCATTAGCAAGTTCATTCAATAACTGCTACATGCTAATCACACTGGGCCCTGGGGATGCAATTGAAGGCAGAGTGCAGCCCTCCAGCTTGACTTATTTCTTCTTTAGATTTAATGTAGCAGAAGAGAAACAATGACTTCTAGCTCAGTTTCTAAGTCATTTCTTTTTGTCTCGTGGAATTTTGTAAATATGAAAGTTACATGTTTATCACGTTAAGTTAGCAGAAGGAGAGCATCATTAACACAAATCATTCCCAGCTCTTTCCTCCTCTAAGCTCCCAGTACCTACTGCTTTGCTTTGCTGGGTTGTCTGGAGGTTTAGTCTGTTGGGACTATACATGCAAGGGCTGAAGAAGCAGAGACCGAAGACTATTGTGATGCGACAGTAAAGTAACTTAACAGCCATGATTCCCTTCCCTTCTTTACTAACATGAAGACAGTCCCTGATTACCTTTAATCATATTTTTTCTTACAGGGTACTCACACAAAAATACAACACTTAGTTATTATTTGTTGTAGATGAAACAGCAAGACATGAATTCAGATAGGCCAGCAGTTCCCACAAAAGAGCTTTGCGTTTTTAGTGTCACTGGACTGGGACCATATCTTTACCTGTGTCACCAACCAAGACTAGTACCTAGCAAAAAGTGATGCCCTCTGTTCACTGGAACCTGACCTCAGAAAAGAAGAAAAGTATAATTCTATAACACAGAACAAAAGCAGATTTTTTAAAAATTTATTTTTATAGCCGGGTGTGGTGGCACATGCCTTTAATCCCAGCACTCAGGAGTCAGTAGCAGCCTGATCTCTGTGACTTCAAGCTCCAGCCTGGTCTACATAGTGAGTTCTAGGCCAGCTGGGACTACAGGTTTTTGGTCTCAAAAAGACCAAAAACGAAAACAAAAAATTTATTTTTATACGTAAGAGTCTTTTGCTGAATGCAAGTGCATACAATACCTGCAGAGGCCGGAAGAGGGTATCAGATCCCCCTGGAATTGGGAGTCACAGATGGTTGTCAGCCACCATGTGGCTGCTGTGAACAGAATCTAGGTCCTCTGCAACAGCAGCCAGTGCTCTTAACCTCTGAGGCATCTCTCCAGTTCCTAAAAGCAGATGATTATTATTTTTATATTAT